AGTAGTGTGTTAATTCCTTGGGGGATGTTCATAAAGGTTTTATAATGCTCTCAAGTTTCAATACCACATAATCATACTCCCCAAAATTACAGAGGCATGAAGTAAAGTCTGCAGCTACTCAGACCAGAAGATAACAGCCTGTGGCTGTATGTACCTCTCTCCCTCTGCTGCCTATAGGCCTTGGTTATCTGCACTCTCTTGGTCTATCTGGGCTAAATGGTGACATCTAAACTATGTCACCCAAAGTATTGGGATGCCTGCCTTTACACACACATGAACTTTAATGGCATCCCAGTCTTAGTCTGTAGATTCAATATTGAGTTGGTCCAATCTTTACAGCTATAAGAGCTTCAACTCCTTTGAGAAGGCTGTCCACAAGGTTTAGGAGTGTGTCTATGGGAATGTTTGACCATTCTTCCAGAAGCGCATTTGTGAGGTCAAGCACTAATGTCAGATGAGAAGGCCTGGTTCACACTCCCCACTCTAATTCATCCCAAAGGTGTTCTATTGGGTTGAGGTCAGGGACTCTGTGCAGGCCAGTAAAGTTCCTCCACCCCAAACTCTCTCATCCATGTCTCTATGGATCTTGCTTTGTGCACTGGTGTGCAGTCATGTTGAATAGGAAGGGGGCATCCCCAAACTGTTCCCACAAAGTAGGGAGCATGAAATTGTCCAAAAATGTCTTGGTATGCTGATGCCTTAGGAGTTCCTTCACTGGAACTAAGGGGCCAAATCCTGAAAAAACAACCCCACACCATAATCCCCCCTCCACCAAACTTTACACTTGGCACAATGCAGTCAGGAAAGTACTGTTCTCCTGGCAACACACCAACCCAGACATGTCCATCAGATTGCCAGGCAAGAAGTATGATTCATCACTCCTGATAACACGTCGCCACTGCTCTAGAGTCCCAGTGGTGGCGTGCTTTACAGGACTGCATCCAATGCTTTGCATTGCACTTGTGATGTAAGGCTTGGATGCAGCTGCTCGGCCATGGAAAGCAATACCATGAAGCTCTCTATGTACTGTGGTTGTGCTAATTTGAAGACCACATGAAGTTTGCAAATCTTTAGCTATAGTCTCTGCAGACAGTTGGCGACTTCTGTGCGTTTCATCATACACTGACCCCTCTCTGTAATTTGTGGCTTTGTGGCTGTTTCTATTGTTCCCAGTTGCTTTTACTTTGTCATAATACCACTAACAGTTGACCGTGGGAATATTTAGTAGCAAGGAAAATTTCACAGATGGACTTATGTACAGGTGGCAACCTATCACGGTACCACCCTTAAATTCACTTAGCTCCTGAGAGCGACCCATTCTTCACAAATGTTTGTAGAAGCTGTCTGCATGCCTAGGTGCTTGATTTTATACACCTGTGGCCATGGAGGTGATTGGGACACCTGAATCCAATGATTTGGAGGGTTGTCCCAATACTTTCAGCAATATAGTGTATATTTGCTGGTTTTATATGTTATGGCTTTACTTCTATGCAATAGTTGTCATTCTTAGATGTGGCATCCTTGACACCCCCTGAGGAAGGAGTTGTTTATCTCTGAAATGTGTCGAGTGTGAATGGAAACACATCAAATATACAATACTATCCATGCCAAATTGCTCTGTATACTTTGTGTATGACATAATGTACTGCGAGCCATATATGTGTTTTTTATCTTTAAATTTGTATGAATAAAATTGCCAATTTATTATTTACTATAATGTTGTAATATTAATGCCTATAAAGTCCCACAGCAGGGGGTCTAGCAATCTATTCTGTTTCATTGAAATAAGAAAGTGGCATCTTCAGAAGTGTACCCACAGTACTTCTGGAACCTTTATCATTCCTTCTCTGCCCTTTCCTCAAAAACTCTAATGTTTTCTATGCCTGGCCACTCCAGTCCCTGTGTTACCTCAGAAAATGTTCTCCAGAAGGCCCTGAATTGACCCAATAACACACAAACAAATAAACAGCTGCAAGGGAAAAAGGCAGAGCCTACTTATGGTTTATAAGTAATATTCAAAACAGCAGGACCCCTGCTTTTAAATCTACTCAATGTTTTTGTTAAAAAAAGTTAATGATACATATTGCTTTTACAAACTAAAATTCATCTAGTTAGGGTTTAGATCTACTTTTAAGAAGAACCCTCACCCTCATCTTCTCAGTGAATCCAGCATTGTCATGTTGCCATCTTCTGCACTAGTGCCACAGTCTGGGTCCCGGGCCATCATCTTCCATTCATAGGTCCTTAGGAGCCAGCGATCTATTCCAGGTTCTTGCTGCTGACTTCAGATGATGACTCACCACCAGATCTGCCCTCCAGCCTCCTGTGTCTCTTCTCCTGCCTCCTCTTGGGATATGTGACAGGATTATCTCAGAAGGCTGCAGGGCAAGATATGTCAAGGGGGCAGGGCTGGAAATAAAAAAAAAATAGAATTAAAAAAAAAAAAAACATAAAAAAATGATATTAGACTTGGGGGGGGGGGGGGGGTAAGTTATAGGGAGGAAAAGTTAATTTTGAGAGTGAAGGTCTGCTTTTAGGGGAATAAACCTTTTCAATTCATTTCAGTGAGAGTGTTTATTTTTTGCTTCTTGCTTGTTGCTTGGATTTGCACTTTAAGACCAGTAGCATATGTCTATTGACAGCTTAACTTACTATTGTTGATGCTTACTATTGGAAAAATCAAGTTGTTTTCCATTATATAAAAATGTTTTACTATTTTCTAAGGAAATCAGTTTATTATTTGGCAATTTTACTCCTCACCGGGGAATTTGTGGCGTACTTGACATGCTTGCCTTATAAATAAAACATCAGCTAGTTAGTAAGCTCTGTTAGAGGTTACATAATATTTTTCTAAGAACTAACTATAATACAGTTTAGTGAGTACATAATAAAATACACTGGTGGAGATTCAATTACTAGCAGAGCAGACAAGCTCATCACAAATTGTCGGAACAAAGATCTTTTCTTTGACTGGTTTAAACATTATTTGAATTTACAGAATGTAACACTTCAGTGAATGCAATACTTCTTTTTTGACCTGAAGTCACCTATGTGGGGGTCAGCACAAGTAAATGTTGTCTTTTTTAGTGGCATAAGGCACACCGTCTATTCTGAGGACATTTCTTCTGATCAGCAAAGCATCAATCTCTAGTGGGGGGGGTTGCCTTGCAAATGCAGCAGACACAGAGCGGAAATAAGAGAAATGTTTTCAGTGCAGAGGGAAAACAACAATGAGGAAGAGGAGACTGGCAGGAGTTGGTGGTGTAGGGATCTGCTGCCCTTTACTGTTTCTATATATATAACCTAGCTGGTAATATCACGAAGTTATGTATAATCATGTATCAGCACTTACTGTATCCCTAGAAACCCCAGAAGAGGGAAGTGGAGAGAGAGAGAGGGAGGGAGAGAGAGAGAGGGGTAGGAGATGAGAATATACTGCATGTGCACATGGAAGAACTGTTGCTAATCCAGACCAGAAGCAGGGATTATTAGGCAAGTGTTCCTATGTTAATAGTTTACTACTGCCCCCATTATCATGCTGTCAGGAATGGACTTGCCAGTAATGGTGGGACTCACCTGCCTTGTGGGCTGCAGTACCAGGGCTGGCCAGCGGGTGCTCTCAGCAATCAGAGACTCAACCCTGCAGCCAGCCAAACACCTGAAGCTGATTATGCAGGTGTATTTAAGGGATGGCCAGACCTGCAGTCTGTGCCTTGGTGTGTGTTTTTCCTGGGCCCCTGTATCTTGTTACCTGCATCCCTGTGCCTGTCCCTGTCTGACTGATTCGTTGCTGACCCTGCCTGATCCGGACCTCTGCTGACTTCTCCTGTTTGATCCCTGGCTTGTGACCCCGACCATTCTCTGCCTGACCCCCTGTACCTACCTGCCCGTTAGTTGCTGTACCCGGCTCGTGACCTGACTACTCTCTGCCTGCTCCTCCTGTTCCTACCTGCCCGATTGTTATTGACCTGGCCTGCCTGACGACGCTTGCATTGTATGTATTGTTATCTGTGGGTGGTTTGGTTCGTTTGCACTGTGTTTATGTTTTAGTGTTGCACTGCGTTTATGTATTGTTAATAAATTATATTGTTTATAACATATCTGAAGCCTGCGTTTCCCTGCGTCAGTTCACATACCTCTGGTCATACCCGGAGCCCTGACATTACACCAAGGCCAATCCTGACCAGAAGTGGCTGCACAGGGAAGCCATCTTGGCTTGTTGCTGCGAAGGATGGATCTTGATGAGGTTGTGTATTTGTCGCTGCTGGTTTTTGATGACAGAGAATATGCTTATCAGACTCTGAGGGAGTATACCCGGGATCAACTACTAGAGTGTATACGGATCGCTCATGTTCTAGTAGATCAGGGCACAGAGTTCTCTGAGGTGCAACCTTTGATTCAGGTTTGTGTAGAGTTGGCTTCATCTGGTACCCCTGAAAGCAGGAATGACTTTTTGCCACCATTTAGTGCAGACCAGGTAGAGTCCCTGGTATGGTTATTAGAGGATGATGTGGATTGCTTCTTGGAGCATTATGCTGCATGTTCACCACAGGTATTAAGGGATTGTATAAACGCAGTGCAGTCTTTGGTCAGACAGGCTTTGTGTAAGCGGAGCTTTGTTCAACCCGTACTGCAGACATGGTCAGATTTGTTACACCCAGCCTCAGTCAGCTTGCAAAAACCCAGTCCTGCTTTCTAATCTATTTCTTCAAAGCTCTATTCCTGCATTCCCAACAGCACCTCCAGTTACAGCCCAGTATACCCTGCTATCTACCGCATGTCAGTACCCTGTTCCCACTTGCTGCACCTATCCTGTCTTTAACCCTGTAAAGAAGCCCTCTGTAGCAACTGTTCCCTCCCCTGTTCCATCCTCCAGCTCTTCTCTGTCTCCAGCTGCTCCATCCGTTTACAAACCTGCGCTTACTTACAGTGCTCCGGTAACTAAAACCAGGAAAAGGCGAAAGTTCTTTCCAACCAATACCATCCTGCCAGTATCCAAACCGGTCAGCCTCCCATCTGAGAACCTGCCTTCCGTGGTGCAGCCTGGTGCCTCGGCGCCCACAATTCAGCCTGATGCCTCTACCCAGCCTGATGCCTCTACCCAGCCTGATGCCTCTACCCAGCCTGATGCCTCCATTCAGCCTGATGCCTCCATTCAGCCTGATGCCTCCATTCAGCCTGATATCTCTACCCAGCATGATGTTTCTACCCAGCCTGATGAACTGATCCAGCCTGATGATTCCATTAGGCCAGTTGACTCGATGCCCGCTGTCGATCCAGACGATCCGGTACCTGATGACCCAGTGCCCGCTGTCATGCCTGGTGACCCGATGCCCGCTGTCGAGCCAGACAATCCCATGCCTGATGACCCAGTGCCCGCTGTCATGCCTGGTGACCCGATGCCCGCTGTCGGGCCAGACGATCCAATGTCTGACCCAGTGCCCGCGGTCATGCCAGTTGACTCGGAGCCCACTGTCGTGCCTGGTGACTCGGTGCCCACTGCCTTGCCAGATGACGCGGTGTCCGCTGACGAGCCAAATGACCTGATGCCTGGTGACCCAGTGCCCGCTGTCATGCCTGGTGACCCGATGCCCGCTGTCGAGCCAGACGATCCAACGCCAGATGACCCGGTGCCCGCTGTCGATCCAGATGATCCGGTACCTGATGACCCGGTGCCCGCTGTCGTGCCAATTGACTCAGAGCCCACTGTCGTGCCTGGTGACTCGGTGCCCACTGCCTTGCCAGATGACGCGGTGCCCGCTGTCGAGCCAAATGACCTGATGCCTGGTGACCTGATGCCCGCTGTCGAGCCAGACGATCCAATGTCTGACCCAGTGCCCGTGGTCATGCCAGTTGACTCGGAACCCACTGTCGTGCCTGGTGACTCGCTGCCCACTGCCTTGCCAGATGACGCGGTGCCCGCTGGTGAGCCAAATGACCTGATGCCTGGTGACCCGATGCCCGTTGTCGTGCCTGACGTCCCTGCTGGGGGTCCGGCGCCCGCTGCTCCGCCTGGGGGCCCGGCGCCCGCCGCTCTGCCTGGGGGCCTGGGGCCCGTCGCTCCTCCTGGGGGCCTAGTGCCTGCCGCCCCTCCTGGGGGCCCGGTGCCTGCCGCCCCGCCTGAGGGCCCGGCGCCCCCGCCGCTGGGGCCCCGCCTGGGGGCCCGGTGCCATGCTGGGGACCCGATGCCTGTCACTACGCCTGGGGGCCCGATGCCTGTCACCCCTCCCGGTGCCTAGGGGGCCCGATGCCCTCGCTCGGGGGCCCGGCGCCCGCCGCTCCGCCTGGGGGCCCGGCGCCCGCCTTGCCTGCCTGGGGCCCGATGCCTGTCACTACGCCTGGGGGCCCGATGCCTGTCGCTCCGCCCGGGGGCCCGGTGCCCGTCGCTGCCCCTGCCTGGGGGGGGCCCCCCGGCGCCCACCGCTCGGGGGCCTGGTGGCCGCCCCTCCTGGGGGCCCAGCGCCCCCGCCTGGGGGGGGCCCCCGCTCCGCCTGGGGGGCCCGCCCCCCACCCGCCTGGGGGGGCCCCATGCCGCCGCCCCACCTGGGGGCCTGATGCCTGTCGCCCCGCCTGGGGGCCCGATGCCTGTCACCCCTCCTGGGGGCCCGATGCCCGCCGCTCCGCCTGGGGGCCTGGCTCCCGCCGCCCCGCCTGGGGGCCCAATGCCTGTCGCTCTGCCTGGTGGGCCCGGTGCCTGCTGCTCCGCCTGGTGGCCCGGCGCCCCGCCGCTGCCTTGGGGCCTGGGGGCCCTGGGGGCCCAGTCGCTCCTCCTGGGGGCCCGGTGCCTGCCGCCCCGCCTGAGGGCCCGCCGAGGGCCCGCCGCTCCGCCTGGGGGCCCAGTGCCTGCCGCCCCCGCCTGGGGGCCCAATGCCTGTCGCTCCGCCTGGTGGCCCGGTGCCTGCTGCTCCGCCTGGGGGCCCGGCGCCCCCGCTCCCGCCCGCCGCCCCCGCCTGGGGGCCCGGCGCCCACTGCTCCGCCTGAGGGCCCGGCGCCCGCCGCCTGCCTGGGGGCCCGCCTGTCCCACCTGGGGGCCCGGGGCCTGCCGCCCCACCTGGGGGCCCGGCGCTCGCCGCCCCACCCGGGGGCCCGATGCCTGTCACCCCACCTGGGGGCCTGATGCCTGTCGCCCCGCCTGGGGGCCCGATGCCTGTCCCCTCCTCCTGTACCCGCCGCTCCGCCTGGGGGCCTGGCGCCCGCCACCCCCCGCCCCCGCCTGGGGGCCCAATGCCTGTCGCTCCGCCTGGTGGCCCGGTGCCTGCTGCTCCGCCTGGTGGCCCGGCGCCCGCCGCTCTGCCTGGGGGCCCGTGGCCCGTCGCTCCTCCTGGGGGCCCAGTGCCTGCCGCCCCTCCTGGGGGCCCGGTGCCTGCCGCCCCGCCTGAGGGCCCGGCGCCCGCCGCTCCGCCTGGGGGCCCGGCGCCCCGCCTGGGGACCCGATGCCTGTCACTCCGCCTGGGGGCCCGATGCCTGTCACCCCTCCTGGGGGCCCGGCGCCCGCGCCGCTCCACCTGGGGGCCCGGCGCCCGCCGCCCCGCCTGGGGGCCCGATGCCTGTCGCTCCGCCCGGGGGCCCGGTGCCTGCCGCCCCTCCTGGGGGCCCGGCGCCCACCGCTCCGCCTGAGGGCCCGCCGCTCCGCCTGGGGCCCGCCGCCCCGCCTGGGGGCCCAGCACCCACCGCCCCACCCGGAGGCCCGATGCCTGTTGCCCCACCTATGGGCCCGATGCCTGTCGCCCCGCCTGGGGGCCCAATGCCTGTCACCCCTCCTGGGGGCCCGGTGCCCGCCGCTCCCGCCTGGGGGCCTGGCGCCCGCCGCCCCGCCTGGGGGCCCAATGCCTGTCGCTCCGCCTGGTGGCCCGGTGCCTGCTGCTCCGCCTGGTGGCCCGGTGCCTGCTGCTCCGCCTGGTGGCCCGGTGCCTGCTGCTCCGCCTGGTGATCCGGTGTCCAGCTCGATGTGCCTCTGCCCGGAGTCCAGCTCGATGTGCCTCTGCCTGGAGTCCAGCTCGATGTGCCTCTGCCCGGAGTCCAGCTCGATGTGCCTCTGCCCGGAGTCCAGCTCGATGTGCCTCTGCCCGGAGTCCTGCCCGATGTGCCTCTGCCCGGAGTCCAGCCCGATGTGCCTCTGCCCGGAGTCCTGCCCGGTGTGCCGCTGCAGCCAGCCAAACACCTGAAGCTGATTATGCAGGTGTATTTAAGGGATGGCCAGACCTGCAGTCTGTGCCTCGGTGTGTGTTTTTCCTGGGCCCCTGTATCTTGTTACCTGCATCCCTGTTCCTGTTCCTGTCCCTGTCTGACTGATTCGTTGCCTACCCTGCCTGATCCCTGGCTTGTGACCCCGACCATTCTCTGCCTGACCCCCTGTACCTACCTGCCCGTTAGTTGCTGTACCCGGCTTGTGACCTGACTACTCTCTGCCTGCTCCTCCTGTTCCTACCTGCCCGATTGTTATTGACCTGGCCTGCCTGACGACGCTTGCATTGTATGTACTGTTATCTGTGGGTGGTTTGGTTCGTTTGCACTGTGTTTATGTTTTAGTATTGCACTGCGTTTATGTATTGTTAGTGTTAATAAATTATATTGTTTATAACATATCTGAAGCCTGCGTTTCCCTGCGTCAGTTCACATACATACCCTGGAGCCCTGACACATGCATTTTGTATGTATTGTATTGGTCTACATTAGGTTAATGTTGTTCTGTAACCAGTAAAACTTGTTATTAAAAAAGCACAATCAGCACAAAATTCCACAGAGAATAACCCATATAGTTCACAAAGCACGTGGATGGAAAGCTCGAAAAGGTGGATGAGAGAAACACACTCAGTCCGAGAGCTCCTATCCAGTGGATCTGGGTAATCCCTATCCAGTGGATCTGGGTAATCCCTCACGAGCATACAAAGGAAACAGAGAAGGGCGCCAGATTAGTGTTTGGTTAAAAAACAACACTTTAATTCCATTTTTCACTGACGTTTGAAAGACCTGTAGATTGCTACAGGTGTCAGAGTGGAGGATAGAAATCTGGATGGACTGATAGGGCTGCAGGGAAGTAGTGACCTGCTGCAAGATGATAAATCTGCGGCGCCTCTCCTTCCACTCTTAGCACTAACAGGAAGAACATGACAGACTGTGGGGGGGGGGGGGGGGGAGCAGGCTGCAACTCATTTCATGCCTCATGCCTTTTGACTGGTCCAGAACTATCACATGTGGACTAGTAAGGCATCTATAAGATTATGGTTCCAGATTTTTTGCTTGTCCTGAAAGCTAAAATTAGAAGAACAATCAAGGGGAAAGGTAAGGTCATACCGCTTGGGACGGAAACAGATACATGACCTTTTTCTAATGACTTGCATGGTTAATGGAGTGGTTCACTTTAACCCAATGAGTCCAACTTATTAAAAGGATACAGACCGTTTACTTTGCAAAGTGAATGCCCAGTTTAATGCCCTTTTATATCAATGATTCAGGTAGCTGTACAGATACCCAATCACTTCTATATTTAGAGAAACATGGACTCCCTTTCTGAAATTTGCACATGTTCCTCTGGGTTATATATACCCCCTAGAAGCCCAGGACATCCATGGCCAGTGTCATTAGGCAGATCAGAGTGGGAAGATCTTTTTCTCAATCTCCCTATTGAGCAATGAACCCAGAAACACTCATCTTTGAACACTTTGGTGTTCAGGACTGTCAGTTCCTGAAAGCTTTGGAAAACAGCAGACCAAGTACAATTTGTATTCGATCTGCTTGGATGGACCCCTGGTGTTACCATGAAGAATGCCTGTCACTCCATAGGGGCCTATGTATTTTTCAGCACAATGCCACAAACAGGTGAAACAAACGGAAGTAATTTTTTTTAATTCTCTAATGGAAAAAAGCTAATAAAAACATATGTTAATAACCTAGTTAAAAAGGGAATAATTAGAGTTTAAAAAGGAAATAATCTTTATAGAGCAAAAACCAATAAAACTTACATTATCGGTTTGATGCCTACCCAGGTAATATTAAATCACAATAGCCTGTGTTGGTATTTGCAACAATTTTAACATTGTGATAACTGTTTAAAGTTATACTCAGTGGTTGTTCTAGTTGTCTGTTACAGTAATTATTAAAGTAGGATCTGTTCCTGCCAGCCAACAGGTACACTGTGTAAGTTGTAATATTTATAACAGGTGCTAGAAGCATTTACCATTGAGGGTAGGATCTGCAAAGTTATAAAAGCCTTCTTGAGGCTTAAATGAAGAATGCTTTAGGTGTTCAAATGGATAACAAATAAACATTTATCTGGCATTATCCCATGCATATCAAGTTAAACATAGCATGCAACTGTACTCATATACCAATAAGTCAGTGTGGTTTTATTATGTGTCATTCCACTTCCCTGCTGTCCTGAAATTGTATTTATACCCGTACCCACTTTTAATCAAGGGAGTGTCAGAGGCTGTGCATGATAAAGTGTATCAGCTGCTCCCCCATCCTGGATCTGATTTCAGTCAAGGTCCTGACAGTGACTGGGAAAGTATTTCAATATCAAGACTGTCACTGGAAATTGTGCAAGGCTTCCCTGGTTGCTTCTGGGACCTTGGTTGACTCCAGGGCTGGGAAGGGGAAGCAGCTGCAGTGCAAGCATGCACAACCTCTAA